GATCTCCTAATGAGGTAACTTGATGTCATGACTTATATTCCTAACCTACATATCGGAATAGTTGTGAGATATTTTTAGTTGGCCTTTCCGGACTACAATGCTCTAATTAGATTACATTACGTAATACACCTGTACTCCATAATCATTTCTCTGTCTTCCTCCATTTGCCCATGTTCGTATCATAAATGCAATTTGAAACATACACCCATTATACCACTGTTGCTTGGCCGGAACGCATTCGATCGCTATCCCCAAATGGATAATATCTTTGTATGGAATTCCCGGATTGTCCGGGTACCCAAAGTCTGAACTCAATCATTCAGCGGTTGTCGCGTGCAAGTAACTGATCGTTTTTATCATGTACTGAATAGGCAAGCGGAGTACAACATGAAAACCCATCAACCGGTTGGATTCAATTTACAAAAGAATCCTGCCCAATGTACCATGTCCGCCCACAGGTTGCCCGCGGAAAACCGCAATCTATCTTCAATCAGCAATGTCCGGACAAGATTCATGATAGTGCGTCATTTTTCCCGCCCCTGAATAATAAAGAATAGACAATATACCACGCCTACGCCACCGCGCATAGCTATGTACCTCCTCCTCACAGACTAATGAGCAAAAGGCCCCAATAATTCATTCGTAGAACGGATTACCACGGATTAAAAACTAGACCTATTGTATTGAGGATATGTAACATTTCTCAAGCGGTCACGGATCACCGCATTGAAATCATCATGCTTATCCATGTTGATACATCTGTCCCTACTCCATTGTTCGTTAAAATGCAAGTCAATTATTGGAATGATCTGACCTCACACAGCCGATCCAACCCAAGTAGTTTCGAACCTTTCAATTTGGCTATTAGCAATATGGAACTGAAGCCCTGACAACTGAGCTACCAACAACCGTAGATCATTACCACGTCTTCATGTCTATAGTCCAGATTTATTCACCAACAATGAGCGGGTATTTACTCTTTTCGGGTTCAGTTTCACTTCTTTGGATTTGGCTCATTTCAGTGGTGATTGAGTTTTGTGAAACAACCACTTCATCCAGTTACGCGGACTTTTGCTTACGACGAAACGTAAAACGCGTCTCCCTTAAAGCATACGAATGGAGTGAAAAAGTCAAAAACTTTCTGATGAAATGCATTTTCGAGGTTATCGTTTTCTTTTTTTGTTTTTAAAGTTCAATTTTTGATCTATTCATCTTTCACAATTTGACTCGATACATTGGCCAGTGTCTGCTGGATTCGAACGAGCGCGCTCGCTAGCGCGCGCGCACACACACACATTCAGAGCATCCGCATGCAATCGGACGACCGAGGGCACGTGTGATGGCCATCTGCGAGGATACGATCAGATATGTGATCCGAGGGAATCCTAATCGCATATCCTATGAATGAATGTGTGTTGTGTGGTACTCCGGTGCGCACGCACGCGAGTGGGGTAAGGGCATGTATTGGAGCATGCGTCCAAGTGACGGTGTTTTAGGCGAGCTGATAGCACCGAGATAGATGCTCGTGGTTGTTGTGACTCACAAGTGGATTGTTGTTGTTGATTATTGTTGTTCTTCTGGTTGTGATTTAGAATGTTTGACAGACAGAATAGATTCTCTGGTCAGACGAGTTTCCGCGCCGCTCTCATCTTCTTATGAAGGCTGGTCTGGAAACGATAATTCAACACGCACTTGTGTGTGTGTGTGTGTGTGTGTGTGTGTGTGTGTGTGTGTGTGTGTGTGCAAGGAATAGAGTGGACAGACAAAGAGAGATCATGAAGTAGAGAACAAGAGGAATTGTGGCTCGTCAGTGCTCAAATTGCATTGACAGACTGTAATGCGCGAATGAAGTAAGCACGGTCCAAATCAGGGGTATGTTTAGAGCGGGACAGAAAGAGAGAGAGAGAGAGAGAGAGAGAGAGAGAGAGAGAGAGAGAGAGAGAGAGAGA